AATTCCTTGAAGAAGTAAATCCAGTAAGAACCGTTGAAAAATTATTTAAGAGTAGCCCAACAGCTAAATATATATTATGTATGTACATACATACATACATAAGTAAATACGAAAAATTTATGGAATTTTGTATTATCTACATACATACACTTGTACATTTTTTCTAAAAAATGTTGGTATCTAGATAACGAAAAGTAGACAAGAATAATAAATAAAAAAATACGACGGGATGAAAATTTCAAATCAAGTTTTTTGTATGTATGTAAGTATGTAAAGTGTTCAAAACTTGGCCATCGTTTACAATTTATACGTTAAACATTCTTCATTAAATTTGTTTGATCGAGTGATAATTTCCTCTAAAAATTAGATTCTGATTAAATTCCTTTGAAATCAGTTGATTGGAACGTAGTTTTAGTGCCACATTATCTTATGAAAACATTCATGTACATGTTTATTTGCTACAAATCTTAAAATCAATATTAGCATAGAATTGGATAATTCAGAGAAGTCACCCTGAGACTAAAATATTTTGCCCACAAAAACGTTTAAAAATGGCTCAGAATAATGATACAAATTATATTTATAAAATAAGCCGTTTCAGAAACTGCTATATGTATAGTCAAAAAAATAAAATTTAGTATGTGAAATTGTATAGCTTCATTATACATATGTATGTAAAAAATAATTAATGTTTAAACACTGCCTAATACATATACCAGCAATATAATTTATGCTATCACACTGGAAAATTATTAAAGACTAATAAAAAACACGTAAGCAAAGAATATTAACATTATGAATGTTTATATGTATATCAAATGTATATATATGTACATATAATATATTAAATACTTTTTATCCTGGGGAACAATATTCAATTCACTTGAATGGAAACCTAAACATACCTGTTCAATACTATATGTAATAAAAAATTTCAAAAATACACAACAGATGTCATGCTTTTCCAATATAAATGTCAATCTCCTTTGAAATTAGTGCCTAACATCTTTTACTTTAATAGATTTAACATGTAAATGAATTACATAAGGTGTCTCTTGTCGTGTTTTAATTGAAATCAAAGGTGTTTCATGAAATTCTAAATAGATTTTATTGGAGAGCAAGTCATTTCTATTCTGTCACGTCACTTTAACATTCACGTACTAAGTAATCAAGTGGATTTTTAACATTCACAAAATTATTTGAATCAGTCAATTGGCTAAGGCCGTCAAACTGACTTTTAGAAGATTTCTTTTTTGGTTGTGGTTTCTCTGCAACTAAAAAAAACTTCGCCTAAAATCTCACAAACACATTATTAAATATAAAAATTAAATCTCAAATCTGTAATTTATATTTTTCCAAGTTTGTATTAAAAAGTAAAATTGAAATAATTTCAAGGTTAGGTAATCTTTTAATTTTTTCTGAAAACTGCGACAGTAAAAACACTTATTCAATGCCATGTTACTAAATTTTTGACTGATTAAAATATTTAAAAAAAAAGTATCACAGCATAAAAATTATTCCGATTTTTCTTTAAAGAACACTATCTATATAAATAAAATATGGCACATACAAACTCATAAATAATAAACGGAAACATATCAATTTACACAATTTTTTTAAATTGCGGATATTTGGATGCTTTTTGTAAAACCAAAGTTTATACAAAATTGTAAAAAATTTTGATTTTAACATTCAAGATGATAAAAAAAAAACAATTTTGTTCATCAATTTTAATAGTTTAGCATTATATGACGGGGTCAAAAAGCGTTAAGTACCATGAAGGTCACGCGAAGAGTTTTTTTTTCTGTTCTTTCTTTGAGATTTTGACGTGTGCAATTAAGATATTTTACTAACAATACTAACCATGTTTAATTACAAGATTTCCAAATTAAGATAAAAATTGAAATAATAAACATATAATTAAGATTGCATCCGACCGTCACATATACTTGTGCACAAATTAAGTACACATATGCTTAAAGCTTGTATTCATATTGTCGGAACTCAACAATCTTGTAATTAATCAAAATTTTAGAAAATATACATAAAGAATCATTTGGATGTGATCGGATCTTACATAAAAAATTTTGTGCAGGATGCATATTTAATTAAGATTTTGATAGTGTTTTGGCACAATTAATTCCAATAAAATTGAAAAGAAAATTGGCTTCAATATGTGGGTTTCATTCTTAACTTCCACTCGTTTATAAAATTTTCATATCCGTTAAGATAGAAAGCTCCAAATATCAACAAGTATATTAAGAAATGCATTTATTAAAAAGTAAATTATGTTTATTAAAATTTCTTGTTTTTTGGCTTTACTTTTGTGTTTATGTTTACAGCTTCGACGTTGTTTTGGAAGCCACCATTACAACATATTTTAAAATGTAATTTTTAATGTAGTAATTACATGGAATAAATTACAATGGTGAACCATCAAACATTCTTAACACAAAAACATCTTTGAAACTCCATAAAATAAATCGTAAAATTCATCTTTTAATAACTTGTTAAGTTTAACTTTCAGTGACAAACACTAAAAAAAAATCAGTCTTTTATAATTATACTTTAATTTATTGAGCAGCAATCACTGAGTTACACCAATTTTTTCGAAAAATGAATTCAAGTAGAGGAATTTTTAATAATTTTTTTTCTAAATTCATTAATGTTGAAAGTATTTATAGTTAACATATACATAATTCTTTTGAAATAACATTGAGTACGGGTAATGCTTTTAGTATGCAATGCAATAACTTCCATTCAAGCTTAAACAATTAATTTCTTATGCTTTCATGCCTTTCAATTTTTGCAATAAATGCTTTCGAATTGATTTAGCACACTTACTTGTAAAGGGGATTAAATATCTCGAAATTTTTAAACATTCCATGCAGAATTTTAAAAAAATAAAATTTCTGTGTTCTATGCTTAAAACTATCTGCATTGCTTCTTTTTCTCTATTTTACTTTTTCAAATTTGTATTTAATTTCCTTAATTTCGCTGATTTGATCAACCAACCGTGAAATTCGCAATTTCTTTTTACATTTTGTTAGAGCATATACTGTTACCTATACACATTCACATTCAAAACTATTCAAAAACCACCTACTATACTAAATCTAAAATCGTACAATGTAAGCGACATACATAACCGGGTAAAATTTTATGATGTGCAACATTTTCCTAAAAATAAAAGAAAATCTGAAACTGTTTCTTTATCTATGTTAAAAAAAATACGGTTTTGTTTATGCAATTTTTAATTTTTTGTCATGCTTGAAAAATTGTTTTCATATTCATATAAGATTTGAAGCTTTATGCCATAAGATATTTAATATACCTCACATATATAACAATATTATTAAGTACGTATATATATTGCATCACAGTAATTTTTCAAGTCAAGAAGCACAAGTGCACAAACATAAATTTTGTATGTAATTTAATTTTTTGTTTACTTTTGTTTTCAAAACCCACAAACCAAGAGTTTTTTTTCTATATTTATCTCAATTAACGATTGAAAGCATGTACAAACGAATTCTTCTTGTGGAGAGACTGTTAAACTAATGTCTTTATATCTAACTTATAGAGATTATAATAGACATTAGTTAAATATAAAGACATTTTAGTTAAACATTAAAACATTTAAAAGATTTTTCAGAATCAATCAGCACTAAAAATTAAAACATACATATGTATATATGAGTATTTAAGTCAAAAGTCTTACTTTATAGCTTATCTTAGATGTTTAAAGTTATTGTTCAGGCCCGCAGTTTTTTTCAGTTGTTATTATTCAGTACTAAAGATTAATTCGCATTGGATTCCAGCCATTCAAGTTTTTCAATCTCTTAAAATGGGTGCTAACCGTGCCACCTTAATTTTCAGTGGCCCGCACATATATAAAATTTTAAAGGAAAACATAAGAACATTATTATCTTTGCACCGAAATCGCTTTGCATTCTGAAGTCTACAAACTTTTACCGACAACATTGCATAGAATAAAAGAGATTGTGCGATGGCATTAATAAACTACTTTTAAAGAAATGTAGGTCTGTGTACTCATGCATTTCAATTTTGACTGAACCAATGATAATAAAAATTCAAAACCGTTCGATGAATTTTTGAGGCATGTAATGCCAGAGCAAATAGTCCTTTACCTACCATATGCCATTTTCGATTATTTTTAACAAAATTTGAATGTCATTTTATGACAATCAAAATTTGATTGTCAGCATTGACAATTAACATACTTCTGTTATTGCTTTGTATAAAACTCTATATTAACTCTGTATACAATACATGCACCTATTCTATCATACGTATATGTGTATATATTCGTATTGTGTAAACAATAGGCAGGTTATGTGATGGCAACAAATTTTGCATATCGAGTTTTCGGTCTGTCGGTCTGTCGGTCTGTGTGTGCACGCGTGTATCTCAAGTTCTACTGAACCGATTTTGATGAAATTTTATATGTAAGTTTATTTCCACCATGGCACGGATTGATCAACTTTTGGGATATATCAGGGCTCGGGAACTGCACTTTTTAGCGGGCCTGTTTTACATTTTTGAACATTTTGAAGAAAATATTCAATCGATTTACTTGAAATTTCATATATGTATGTATAAGCTTTCCTCGACCGTCCGCTGGAATTTCTTGAAATTTAATATTTGAGTTCTGGTTAACTGGCGAGCATTTCTGAGAATTCCGGTAGCACAAAGCGAAACTCTACTAAGAGCCAAATTTACATTTTTCTAGGTATGTTAACTATAACCTTACTAATGTCCTAAAAATTGGAAAGAATTATTTAAAAGACGTTTTTATAATATTCTGTAACCCTTTCACTTAACTAGGCAATATACAATGTGCTGACCACATCAGATTTTTTGAATAAAGTTTGACCATCTTATCGTAATTATATTTTGAGTTGCTAATCAACATTTACGCTTACGTATTTTCGGATATGAGTGTGTGTTTGTTTAAAATATGAAAATGGTTTACTCACCTTTTAAATAAAATTTTAAAAGAGTTTGTCATATGTGATGTTGCTGTTGTTATTGTAGTGGGTAAAAAATTAGAAAACCAAAAAACAAAAGCTCAGTAAATTATTTGCTCCTCTCTTTATGTTTTCTTTTAAGTTTTTTTTTATTTTAAATTATAATTGAATCTGAAAGTGAAAAAGAAAAGTTTTGAAAAAAAATTAAATAATGAAAATTTAATTAATTTGCGGAAAATTTAATTATTTCTGCTTTTTTATTATTAAAAATTATTAAAATAGGGGAAAGGTAATTAAAATTCGAATAAATTAAATTTTTTTAGACTTTCATTGGCATTTTTCCACTATTCCTACAAAACTATTTAATTAACAATTAATAAAAAATTAATTGAAAAACACTTTTTATTTGTACATTGATTATTATGAACTCTTTTAGAAGAACTGGTTTATTAAAATTTTACACGAAATTTCTTGTACGGGAAAGGAAAGTTTTTAAAAATGTTTTAATACATTAGCTAATACAATAGAGTAAAATTTTGAGGTCGAAATTGGGAAGTAAAAATTTTAATAGCGTGTTTTACAATATAAAATTTTCAATTATTCATGACTGCTCTAACAGTATTGCCAGTTGTTTCCAAATTTCTTCAATGTCAATTTTACAAGATTCTGCATTAGTTATTATTATAAGAAGCAAATAAACGTATAAATCCCAATGTTACTTAAATAAACTTGAATTTCTACTGGAGGCTAATATTTCATCGAATGAGTAACGACTATAATTATACACTCTGTTCTTTCTATAAATTAATAATTGCATCCTTTTTTTGGCACATTTACAGAAAAATTTGCAAAAAAATTTAGTTTCACTCTATTTGCTCCTCTCATAGCAAATTTTCTGTAACATTTATTATAAAGATATTTGATACGTAAACAAAAAGATGTTAGTGAAGGCCTTATTTCTCTGGAATAAAGTTTTTTCATAGCTTCTTTGGCTTTCAAGTTGTAGGTCGAAACGAAAACCAATTTGTAAATTCTGTAAACGAATGTCACGGTTTCAAATTTAGAGTTATATCATACCCGGTTTTCGTTTAACTATACATTTTCGAAATTATTGCAGTAAGATTTCTCAAAAATTTATGCAAAATAGTTAGAGCATTATTTCAATACGTTGCTTGCATTACTTAAACCGAAAGCAAGCTCTAAAGAAAAATTACCCAGTTAGCAGATCACAGGTTTAATTGACTGCATTTATTGAAATCATTTAGTAATAAAATTGAGGTAGCTTTCCAGTGTTTCAATTGTTTTAATTCAACATTTAACTTTATAATGGCTGACTCAAATTATTTGTAATTGATTAAAATTAACCGGAATAAAAAATGTGATTTGTAAAATATCCGTTTGAATTAATTGAGATTTCCTTTTACAAAACAAACGTATTTGAATTGAATGCATTTAATCGCTTCAATAAGCTCTAATTGCACTGTTAAAATGTTCACGAAATGTAAAAATTTTTATTATTTGTTTTTTAAATAGAAAATAAATTTGTACTTTTAAAATATTTGATTTTCATTTAAATTTAGTAAAAGCTAGTATGTATTTATCAATATTTATTTATAAATGGATCGCAAAATTTATTTCCGCAATTCAAGTTTCAATTATACCACAAACTGATTTTTAATAAATTAATCAAAAGTGCAACATTATGCAACATGTAAAATTTATATAAGTTTATAAAAATTTAAAATAATTTTGTAATTTACAACCGGCGCTTCAACAATAGAAGCAGTCAATGACAGACTTCAACTTTGTTTCATTTCATATTAAAACTCCATTTTGCTTATTAAAAATTTTACACAATTTATAACTTAAAATTTTGTAGTCCTCTTGTACTTAACGAAAAACTTTTTACAGTTCATTATGTAATATAAAAACTGTCACTGATAATATTCGAAAACATTTAGTTAAATCGAAAGTACAGTAAAATGAAAATTAATACAGTATAAACAGTAAAATAATCAAATAGGTGAGGTGATATGCCTAAAATAGTTACAGAACTGTTGTTCCAAATAATTAGATAATAAAAGAAGTATCCAACTTTTAAAATCGCATCGTATTTTAAGAAGTACATATATGAAATATTTACAGACACTTGTTGCAATTATTAAATTATTTTGCATCTCAATTAAATCTTTCTTAAATTATATTTGCACCTTTAAACTATTAAAACTTGATCATGAATTTTTCAATTAAGTTTATGCAAATGTGCATATCCGTATGGATATATTGCATGTACATATATGTATGCATATTCATTTATGTATATCGAGAAAAAAATCAATTTCCTCGTTTTTAATAGCTACTAACTTTGTCTTTTTTACATCCTCCTGAATTTATAAATAATATTGAAAATTCATTTGATACATTGTAGCTTGTTTGAACTAAAAGAATTGACTTTTGAAATTCAATTAATTCTAATGAAGGATTAAAAATATCACATGCATGTCGAGCAAAAGTTTTATTGGAAATTTTTTCCCCATTCTATAAATAAATTTAAATTTAAAATTTATAACAAAATTTTCATAAATGTAAAGGTTCATTTGTATTCGTTCATAATGTTGTATGTGTGTGTGCTTATTGAATTATCCAACAAGGGATAGTGTAAATATAATATACATAAAATTATTTTGCTGTATACCAAAACCTTGGTTTACGACAACATTTTGTTAAATCTAGATTGATAGTTAATATTTTGTGGAAAATCGGAATGTAGTGTTAAGAACATAAGTTAATAATGTAAGTAAGAATGTAAGTTAAGAACACTTTGATTAAACTGAAAACGAATGCAAATTTCTACCCGCAAAACCAAAATCAAAAAATTGAATTAAGAATTCAGTATCTGGATTTCTTCTTTTCATAAAATATGTTCATATTTCGTTGATAGACATTAAACTAAAGGCGACTTTCGTTTACATAAAAAGTTGTAGTATTGAAAATAACTAAGAGGAACAGAGAAGTATTCTGAGCAGAGACTTTAATAGTCAAATAAGAAATTTGACATTTGAAAAAACCTGTCTTTAACAACGCGATTAACGAAAAACATTTTTCTCTTGTATACAACATTGTGTACTATTTTTAATAAACTTTCTTCTTGTTCCTGCTTTTCATTTAAATTTCTAATGTTTTTTTCTTATCTCAAAATCCAAAATTGCTTTTAAAACAATTACATATGATCAAAGCATTTTAAATTTAATGTTAAAGGGATTATGTTTCAATAATCAAGCAGACGCATTTTTTTGAGCTTACCCTCAAAAATTTCCCAAAAAATCATATGTGAACTAATCATTTTAATTAGAACTGATTTCATTTTTATATATTGATTCATTAATTTTCAATTAGACTTCTTAAATTAAATTTACGTTTCATGTTTACATAGTGACAAATATACAAAAAATACATACATATGTATGTGTAAATTGAAATTGTCAAGAGATGCACTTAAATAACACGATAACTTTTTTTAAAAGCAATCACAACAGATTCGTAACAAACGTATAGGCAAGCGTATCATAAGAAAAACGAAACAGCCTTCCTTTCAAAATGATTTTAAATAAATTTAAGTTCATAAAATGTGAATACATATGTACGTATATACCAAAATACATATGCATGTACGTACATTTATCTTTACTTCTTTTCATGTCAATCGCTATTATTAGAACTAATTCATTAGTAAAAGTAATCACACTCATACAAACATACAAGAAAATTTATAATCATTTTAAAGAGTTCAATTATAAAAATTCTCTGGAATTGTTTTAAAGAAATTTCAATAATTTTCAACATAAAATATAGTTTTCAAGACACTTGATAGAGCAAACTTGAGAAAAATTTTGTTGTCCAGAATTTTAATTTCTAAGAGATTTCAAATTATGTTACGAATATTTTATTATTTTAGTTATTTTAATTATTTTCCTGTTTAATGAAAAATTTTTATAAAAAATTTTTCGAGTGTTTTATTCTGTTTTATGCACACATGCCTACATGCCAGAATTGTAAAATTTTCATAAAAGTATTCTTCTACTTTTGACACCCTCAGGACAAGTTTATTATTGTATTATTGGGATAGTTTACAAAAAGTTTTAAAACCCAAAGTTTTTACTTTCAAGATGTTTAGGCCCCAAAATGTAAATTAAGAAACTCGCTTGCTTACACCGAATGAATTAGTTGTCCATGACAACTGGAATGATCCAGGCGAAATTTCATATGTGTTAACCATATTTACAGAATTAAAATTATAAATAAAGGCTTAAAATCTTTTGCCCTATTGAATAATTTTAACAAATCAAATGTTTGTTCTTCTTTTCATAAGGCGTTTGAAGGATTAATATGAATAATTATTAAAATAGAAAATGTGAACAAATTTTTCCTATTCCCTTGAAAGAAAAGAAAAAAATTTTGTTACTCGAATTATTTTCGATCAATATCATGTCCATTTTCATGGTAAATTATATTAAGGATCTTTTCATTGAATATACTGAAAAGGCCTCGACCCAATATCAAAAGGAAAATTAAATAAGTAAAAAAAAGGACTTTTAAATTTTTTTTTGCTCTCCTAAAATTTAAAAGTCATCAAAATGGAAATGAAATAATAGAAATGATATAAAAAAAGGATTTCTTTTACATGTTAATACGCCAATAAAACATCAAAACTCAATCTTTTTTGCACAAAAAAAAGAAAAATAGGTTTTAAAAGGCTCTTACCACACGATTTCTCAACATGCAAAGTACACAGTAACAAAAAAATCTAACAGGGAAAAAAAATAGATAATCAATTCTGTTCTCAAACTATTCTTACACTTCTTCTATCACTACTCGTATATACAAAGTCGTTATTAAGCAATATAATAAAAATATTAAGTGTTGACCTCTTTGCAACCTTTTTTATTGATTTGATTTAGAATATTGCATGTGTGTGCTAGTGTGCATAAAAAAAATACATACAATCAATGTATGTACATTTGTCTATTTACCCATATAAAAATCGATACTAATAAAATTTAATTTAGATGTTCAGGTGGATTCAAAAAATATGTGGAAGAGAAAGGCTTTCATTATTTGATTAAAAAAATGTTTAAAACAAAAATTTATTTCATTACTGTGCAATTTTCCCG